AACTTTTCGCAGGCAGTCGCCGAAAACGCTAGCATACGCTCGAAACGCCATACGCTCTAGACGCTGACGCAAAGTACGAATGTTGCCTTACAGTCGCGTTCTTCATTTATTTCTGTCAAACTTGCCCCTAAAACGCTATTTACAGGGAACGGAATTCGTCGTTACGAATTGCCAAGTTCGGGGTGGATACGTTGTTCTCGTGGGTTCAACTAACGGAGTGTTGAAAGTAGGAGACACTGTGGAACAAGTCTTTGATGGAGTAAGTTGAAAAAAAATTGTGAAAAGTAGGCATTGTTTGCTAACTTATTTTTCAGGAACGTCGTGCACTCATTATGAAAAATCATACCGCCACTCATGTTCTGAATCACGCTCTTCGTTGTGTGTTGACCGATTCCGATCAGAAAGGATCTTTAGTTGCTCCGGATCGACTTCGATTTGATTTCACGAACAAACAGGCGATGACAATCAAACAGGTAAGGCTGCGTTCATACCTTGCGTCAGCGCACGCCAGCGTTTTGAGCGTTCGAGCGTGCGCCAACGCCAGCGAATGGAGGAGCTTTAACAATCTCGCGTACAGGAGTAAGAGTATGGGGAAGTAGGAGGGTAGCAGACAGCTGGATTAGGCGTCGTGAAATTGTGGCGTGTGCAACCGCACCGTACAACTGCACTACACCGTACATCAAGATTGCATAATTCTATGCTTTATCAGTTGTGCAGTGCGGTTGCAGACGCCGCAGTTTCACGACGCCGAATCCAGCAGTCCGCTACGGTCCCGCTTCCGCATACTCTCCTCTGCTGGACGCTGGCGTACGCTAGATCGCTACCTATACTTTCTTAGTCGCTGGTGCAAGCGTTCACTCGAAACAGCCTGAAACGCTGGCGCAGTCTGACGCGAAGTATGAACGCAGGCTAAGCTGTTGTTGATCTGCTTATCTTGATGAATGACCTTGATTGCCTATGTTTGCAACACAGGTGAAAGAAGCCGAGGAGATAGTCCAGTCAATCATAGACACCCGAGAACCCGTCTATGCTAAAGAAGCCCCGCTACCTCAAGCTCGTGAAATCACTGGATTGAGAGCAATGTTCGATGAGGTACGCTTCACACATACCTTTTGAAAAAATATGTCTAGATTACTTCAGTTCTTCCTTTTTAGAATTACCCTGATCCGGTTAGAGTGGTGTGCGTCGGGGTACCCGTAGAAGAACTTCTGTCGAATCCGAAGAGCGGTGCTGGTTTGAAGACAACTGTAGAGTTCTGTGGTGGAACGTGAGGGTTTCTTTAGAGGATGAAAGTGGCAAAATGGGCTAAGCTCTGGCTTCACAGGCATCTTCACAACGTTGGACATATTGGGCATATGGTGATTTCATCCGAAGAGGCTATTGCTAAAGGAATTCGACGAATAGTAGCACTGTCAGGACCAGAAGCCGAAAGAGCATTACATCGTGCAGAAAGATTAGCAGCAAGGACTCAAGGTGAGTGACAGGGAAAGGCCGCATTTCTTTGGTTCTCACAATGAAATCTCTTTTTCTACATACTTTGTGCCTCTCCTTTTCTTGACTCACTGGTTGTTGGAAAGTTTTACTCAGAACTTTAATATGTATTTCCTTGAATTTCACTGCAACAGCATAGTATTTGTTCAGATTGTTTGTAAAAAGTTGCGGTAAATCCTTTGTTTGCTTTTCAGGCCCTATCAGATGAATAAAAGCAAATACCGAATTTAGCATGGTGGGATTCCCGAAAAGTTCAAAAAACTACGTCGAAGCAAATACAAGAACTGATAGATGTAAGATTCAGTTTATCATTTTTTTGTTGCATTTTTCAAATCTGTTAAAGACAATTGTACTTTCAACTCGGGGGAGCGGTCCTTCCCATTCGCAGGCGAATGAGTCCGCAGCTGCAGGAGCGTCCACTTTCTCCGCTCACAAGTATACAGGAACAGGATTGCAGGGGAGTAGTACCCAAATGCCGTCTTCATACTCCGCCCCCGCTCTCCTCAATGCCAGCAATTTAGTCGATACCAAGGTCTCGCAGTGAGGCTCGCACTCAGCGGTAAAAGAGAAGGTGTGAAGTGAGAGGGCACGGGTGTGCGTCGGCTATGGTTAGGAGTGTGGCTGGCCGCACGGCGGCGGACAGGTGTCGGTCGGATGGCGTGGCTGGCAGCTGTCCTACCGTAACTGGGACGCTGCTGGACGCTAATTGACACCTCCCTGAGCCTGTTCAGCCGCTCCCTCGGACCGGAGAACTCGTCCACAAGCCACGCACCATACTGATTCGTATAATTGATCGACCTACAATGGTGAGACGTCTCCGTAAACGCCGAATTGCGTACTGATCGCTCAACTACGCATTCTCCTTCCGTTTTTGAGCGGAGTTTGCTTTTCGCTACCAAGCCATTACATTAACTACACGCTATAAACGGGCTATCGATTATTTCAATTGCATTTCTGGTTACACTGCCGGAGCTACTAAACCAGTGGTGAGTTTTTTACAGTTGCTCAAAATGATTTCTATACTGTTTGCTTACTGGAAGAGAGTAGTTTCATGACCATTTTGGGATCATGACACATTCTTCTTCTCAGTTCGCTCACAGTTATTTTTCCTTGTTCACGATCATTGAAGAGTTCCTAACAACTGTTTTTTTTTACACGTTTGCACAAAAAAGTTACCAGAACAGCTTCACGATGCATTATTCCTCAATATTCTTGCTTTCCCTGATACAATTTTCCTGGACTCAGTCCCTTACTCCATTTCTAAGTTGGTACTGACATTGTGACCCTGCTGACGAGCAACATTTCTCACTAATTACTGCCATAGGGGAGCGTGCGACGTCGCTGTCTCATTTGATATGCCCAAAGGAGACACAAAAGTCTCCCGTAACTCATCCCGAAAAAGAAGTTGAGGTCGAGTTGAGGAAGATATATGTCGAGATATGTGTCAGGAAAAACTATTTAAGCCAAATGTAATAAAATTTTTTGAATAGTCTGCTGTTAATGTGTACAAAGGGGTAAAAAAACACTTGTTAGGAACTCTTCGATGATCGTTAACAAGGAAAAATAACTGTGAGCGAACTTAGAAGAAGAATGTGTCATGATCCCAAAATGTCATGAAACTATGCTCTTCCAGTAAGCAAACAGTATAGAAATCAAGTTTTAAGCAACTGCAAAAAAAACTCACCAATGGTTTAGTAGCTCCGCACTTGTACAGAAAGGCAATGAATAAGCAATGGTCAATATGCAATATTAGTAGTGTGGTTTCAAAATAGTCGGTAAGGCCAAAGAAGTCGAAAACCCGCCCAAAAAGGAAGGTGGTTGGGCGACCAGTACGCAATTCGGCGTCTACGGAGGCGTCCTACTATTGTGGGTCGATCAATGATGCGAGTCAATTACGTAGCTGTGGACGAGTTCTCCGGTCCAAGGGAGCGGCTGCCCAGGTTCATGGGAGGTGTCAATTAGCGTCCAGCAGCGTCCCAGTTACGGTAGGACAGCTGCCAGCCACGCCATACGACCGCCTCCCCCGCGGCGTGTATTGAGATGGCGTTCGGACCTCATGCTACCGTCTAGCCCTGCCCCTTGCGCAATCTGAACGGGAAAAGTTGCGCTCCCCCTCCCATTGAGTGCAGTCACACACACACACACACACACACACACACACACACACACACACACACACACACACACACACACACACACACACACACACACACACACACACACACACACACACACACACACACACACACACACACACACACACACACACACACACACACACACACACACACACACACACACACACACACACACACACACACACACACACACACACACACACACACACACACACACACACACACACACACACACACACACACACACACACACACACACACACACACACACACACACACACACACACACACACACACACACACACACACACACACACACACACACACACACACACACACACACACACACACACACACACACACACACACACACACACACACACACACACACACACACACACACACACACACACACACACACACACACACACACACACACACACACACACACACACACACACACACACACACACACACACACACACACACACACACACACACACACACACACACACACACACACACACACACACACACACACACACACACACACACACACACACACACACACACACACACACACACACACACACACACACACACACACACACACACACACACACACACACACACACACACACACACACACACACACACACACACACACACACACACACACACACACACACACACACACACACACACACACACACACACGGAAAGGCCGAGGATCTGAGAGATAAATGCAGAGTTTGTCTTTTGTGCTGTGCCATGTCAGAACCATTTTTGGTTTGTCAGTTATTCCCGTTATAAGGCAGCAGTTTGTTCTTCTTTTCTCTGCTCTCTGAAAAAAAAGTAAAATCGTGTCGATCTTTCCAGAGCTTGTCGGGTTTTGAGAGCCGTTCCTATTTTTTTTCTGTTCAGGAGGTCAACGCAGCTCAACTACCTTACTGGAGAAAGGATGAGATCCGCGAGCAAGGAAAGGCTGCTCAGAGAACTCTAGATGGTTATAAGAAGCAGGCTGATGCAGCCATTGCTGAGAAGGTGTGTACTGTTTTTTTTTTTGTTGGACATTTTCCAAGGAAAACTTTGAATTACGATTGATGTGAATTTCTTCGATCTGTTTTTTTTGTCTCGACTGTATTTCTCTCAGTTGATTGACTGTGACATACTGTGCCGCTTCAAGTGCCTTCGGCGACGTTCGGTTTGGAGGGGCAATTTGTACTTTTGGTAGTTCATTTAGTTGGTTCATACCAACTAAATGAACTACCAAAAGGTTCTACCAGGTCTCACTTTGGTCAGACCTGTAAACTTCTGAGAAGTTCGAGTGAGCCACGTTGATCGCAGGAATTTACAGGTTTTCCCAATCTGGCATGTACAAGCTTAGCTGTGTACCTCCACCAAGCCGCCCCCCCCCCCTCCAAGCCGAACTGCGTTCCATCT